ACGTTCGCCGGGACCAAACCATTGACCAAAAGAAACCCTGGTCCCTTATATATCCATCGCCATTAGGTTGGAGGCCATCGCTATCAGGCTATTAGGGTGGAGGCCATCGCTATTAGGTTGGAGGCCATCGCTACTAGGGTGGAGGCCATTGCTATTAGGTTGGAGGCCATCACTATTAGGTTGGAGGCCATCGCTGTGAGGTTGGAGGCAATCGCTATTAGGTTGGAGGCCATCGCTACTAGGTGGAGGCCATCGCTATTAGGTTGGAGGCCATCGCTGTGAGGTTGGAGGCCATCGCTATTAGGTTGGAGGCCATCGCTATTAGGGTGGAGGCCATCGCTACTAGGAAGGAGGCCATCGCTACTAGGGTGGAGGCCTTTGCTATTAGGTTGGAGGCCATCGCTACTAGGTTGGAGGCCATCGCTATTAGGTTGGAGGCCACAGCTAGTAGGTTGGAGGCCATCGCTAGTAGGTTGGAGGCCTTCGCTATTAGGTTGGAGGCCATGGCTATTAGGTTGGAGGCCATCGCTACTAGGGTGGAGGCCATCGCTATTAGGTTGGAGGCCATCGCTATTAGGTTGGAGGCCATCGCTACTAGGTTGGAGGCCATCGCTATTAGGTTGGAGGCCATCGCTACTAGGATGGAGGCCTTCGCTATTAGGTTGGAGGCCATCGCTATTACGTTGGAGGCCATCGCTATTAGGTTGGAGGCCATCGCTATTAGGGTGGAGGCCATCGCAATTAGGTTGGAGGCCCTCGCTATTAGGGTGGAGGCCATCGCAATTAGGTTGGAGGCCCTCGCTACTAGGATGGAGGCCATGGCTATTAGGTTGGAGGCCATCGCTACTAGGATGGAGGCCTTCGCTATTAGGTTGGAGGCCATGGCTATTAGGTTGGAGGCCATCGCTACTAGGGTGGAAGCCCATTCGTCGCGAAGTTCCGCCTGCCCACAACAAGTTCCGAGATGGACCGAATTTCGGACGAAGCCACACATCCTTCTGTTTGCCTCTGGATCTAGCCATGTAGAGAGTTCGATGTTCTTCCTTGAGGACACATCTTCGCCCAACCCCAGTTGCGTCAACTCATCTGAACACCCAGGAGTTGATGACTCATCTGAACACCCAGATTTGGGCTGCGAGCAGGACTTTCGGTCTCGGATTGTGGGATTGGGTGCCGAGAAACAGTGTGGGTCTTCCACACACCGAGAAACGTGGGGCGCTGCGAACAGCAAACTCGAGCGCTGTGAAAGAGACCAAGGACTGTCAAGTAGGGAAGGGCACAGTGTTTCAAGGGCCACAGAAAAGCGGCATTTGCGTACTGACTGTTCCATACATGGTAAGAAAATTCACCCTGTTCCCCCCTTGTAAGGCCATCTTGGACTCAGTCACTCAGCCACCGGTCTTTTCGAGGGATGTGCCCCAGTGAGCCAATTATAAGTTTGTGTTTCTCACAAGCGCAGGTGTCAGGTTACAGCCTGAAGGAGCCCAGGTGTCAGGTTCCTGGACCATCATTGACCAACCTGGGCAAGCCCAGTACCATCTTCAACTTAAAGGCTCATTGTCGATGTTTTACAGCATTCTCAGCTCATGTGCAACACCCTTGATCGCTGACCCCACGTGATTCGACGCACGGCTTGCCGTGCTTCGAGGACGCCGAACCCGGACGACGAAGACCTCGACCCGGACGGCATGAAGAGCCACGTCTGAGGAAGTACTTTGAGCCGAGCCGGCGATGTAAAAGGAAACGGCTATCCGGGTGCACAAATTGGTGGCTTTGAAGATGTGAATCTGTCACAAGCTCCCGCCTACCCTGCAAAGCTTGCAGCAAAAAATTACTCAAAAAGCGTTCCGCAAACTCACACACCAATGTAACGGTCACGAACGCTTCGAACGCGTGCGGAGACCGGGTCATCTACTTCTTTCTGCAGCGAAAAATTGCCTACTAAACGAATAGCATGGAGATCATCTAAACTTATCGAAATTTCTATACCCTAACAGAATATGCATAGCAAATCAGATACCCTCTACGTAGCCATGATTATCACCCTTGCTGTGGAGTTTGCGCCCATGCTCAGGGTACTCGCTGCACAGCAGGATCCGGGTGTCAGGAAGGTCAGCCAGCCTCCAAATGATCCAAACAATTGTGAAAAAAACTGCGAAGAGCAATGGCCTCCACCCTAGTAGCGATCCTAGTGAAAAAGACTGCGAAGAGCATCCGAATCAGCGCAAGGGTACAGTATCCCTGAAGCATCAACCGGTTGCTTGAGGAAATTCCAAGAAAAAACGTCTGACTTTCCTCATGTTCGGATCTCGGTTCCCTCGAGTAAAACGGCGAGTGGGAGAAGGCCGCAACAAGACTCCACAAACACTACTAAATTGACTAAATACAAATGAGTGATGTTTATCACCATCTACATTTCTACATAAAACACAAAAAGAGCCGCATCTGGCAAAATCTTTGGAACGATCCTCTGAGATGGGGGTTGGTTTTTGCAGTGGATATGGATTGCAAAAGTCCCGAGACCGCAGGAAGGTGTTCATAACTTAATGCAGGTTTCGCCTCGAGAGCCTCCCTCTAAGCTACAAGCGCAGGGACTGCCCCTGAAGGGGAATAGTAATGTAAAGTCACGATTAATAAGCTTCCCCTAGTTAATCCGAGCCCACAAGCCCACCGGAAATTGCCCAAACTAAAAGTATTATTCGTGTCTAATTCCCCCCCTAATGTTCTAGTTGGGCACCAGAACCCCCCCCCAGTTAATCCGAGCCCACAACCAGGTCAATTTTTCGTATTTTTACTACTACTACTACTACTGCTACTACTACTGCTACGGCTACCGCTACCGCTACTGCTACTGCTACTGCTACAGCTACTACTACTACTACTACTACTACTACTACTACTACTACTACTACT